GTGATTTTTCAATGACTGGAACTGTAGTATCATCATGCCGATTTTTGAGGGATGGAACTATAGTATCATTGTGAGATGGAATGATTGTCTCATTCAATGTCTGATCGAATAAAGAATCATCAAATTTGACCGCATCCTCAAAAGTCTCCCCATCCCACGGATCTAATTTAAGCCCCTTCGGGGTACTCTTATGTGCGAAACTTTGTCGATATTTCAAGTTAAAAGGCTTCACCTCATTTTTGTTATTCAACCACTCGCGTTTTTCAACATTATTATCAAGCAATTTCATGTTTTTAGAGGTCAATTCTTGATGTCGTAATGATTTTTTCTATAAACAAATTTCTATTGGATATTTTCTATTAAAAAAAACGCGCAGTAAAGCTGTTTTTCAATCGAATTTTCTATCGAAATCGTTAGGTTTTTCCATAAAATTTTTGTTGTGCATGCAAATTTCATTAGATTCAATTTAATTCTAAACATCACGGTAAAAAGTAAAATCCATTGGTATTACTTACCATGGTGATGTCGTTGGTGTTGGAGTCGAGGGCTGGGAAGGACATGAAGGACAGCTCTTCGAAGCCGAAGGTTGATCGTTCACAGTGTCTCCCGTACCTTCCCTCGGGGCAGGAGCACTTGTACCCCGGTTTCTGGCCGACGCAGAGACCCCCGTGGAGGCAGGGGTTCGGCCTGCAGGAGTCTGTAACGGCTTCGCAGTGATTCCCTCTGTATCCAGCGCGGCATAAGCAGAAGAATGAGGATCCGTCTGGGCTGACCTGGCAGGAGCCACCATTCCTGCAAGGATTGCTCGCACAGGCGTCCCCTCGCTCCAGTTCGCAGAGCTTTCCTTCACGATTTGAGGGACACGTGCAGACGAAGTCGTAGCCCATTCTCCGGCATTGGCCTCCTTGCTGGCAGGGGTTGGGAGAGCAGGGGTCCTGTCTTCTCTCGCACCGGGGGCCGGTGAAACCGTCGCGACATCGGCACAACATCTCGTGGACCACGCGGGGTGATGTCAGGATTAAGGACTGACTGTTTGTTATTCTGGCGTCCTCGTAGACCACTAGTTGATCACTGCAGGAGCCCCCGTTCTCGCAGGAGAGGTGCTTGCAGGGGGAGTAGCCGATCGTTACTGGCGCACCCTCCAGGAGGTCCTGCAGCTTTTTCTGGTGCTTGGAGAGGAATTTTATTACCTCGGGCTTTTGTTTGAAACCTGGAAGAAACGAATTGAGGTTTTAGAAGGAACTATTGCCTCTTCAAAAAATGTTATGATATTCTCCAAAGGTCGAAATATAATGAATATTAAATAATTTACAGGGACTGGAAAAATCAGTATTATAATTTTTAATACGTAATTTTTCGATCTCCCAAAATTTAATAGAAATTACTGTTTCATATTTTCAAATTCAATCTTTGTCTCATGTAGAGTCCCAATTGACGTAAACAAGGGAGAACAATTGTTATTGACAATTTTTTCTCTATAAAGTATTGAACTCGGGCATTGAAGAGTTGCATTAAATACCCCGTTAAATAGTGAATGGGTAGTTGGGGTTTTTTATATCATCTATTAAGAAATAAATTCACCTTGTGGCGTTTCTATGGCGAGATAAATATTCAAGTTTCCATCGGTTTCCCCGATGCTGTATATGGTCAGAGTATCGCCGGCCTCTGTCTCCTCCTGCAGGATGTCGAGGAGGGGTCGATAGTGTTTTGAGAGAAATTCAGATGCTGTCAAACGAGATATCTGGAGGGTCACGCTGTTCTCCACTGTGGAATTTGAGAAGACTAGGAATTCCACGGTCACTTTGGAGACTACATCGGGGTGACGCCCGTCGTTGCCAGATATACTCAGAGAATATCCGTGTCCTGCGTCAAAGTGAAAATACACAATCACTTTATTGTAATGTTTAGCAGAAATTTATCAATTTTAATGGATTTCTGAATTTTTTAAAATTTTTGTATATGAAAATCGGGCAAAAAATATTGGACACTTTTTTTTTCATTTTGATGAATAATGAATAGTGAAAAGCTTCAAATATAGTGATAGCGCAGAAAATTTTCAAAAATCCCCCCCCCCTCACTTTTTCTCATTCTCACAGTAATAACAGAGTTGAAAAAAACACGTCATTCCCGTGAAATCATCCGCATCCTTTCCTCGCATATTCATAAAGAATATTCACCGTTACCTCCGCCAAATTTATGGATTCGCATCTCAAATAAAAACGAATTAGATGCGAAGATTCATGTCTTCAACAATTTTTCCTCGCGCCAATAAAATCCCTCAAAAAATAATTATCGCAATGGGCGAAAAATTTTTCTCATCGTCTTGCCTCAATTTCTTTTTATCTCTTTTTTTCATTTACATCTTTATCTCTCTTTTTTCCTCTCTTTTTTATTTGAAACCCATGAATTATTCAGACGCAGTTGTCTGAGAGAGCAAGAGAGAGAGGGGGGGGGGAAGAGAGAGAGAGGGAGAGAGTTACCGAGGCAACACACTAATTTATGAACTTTCGAGTTTGGGGGCTATCCCTCCCCCCCAATCCCGTCCTCCCCACCACAACCGCCACCACCACTCATTCCTTCTCTTTTACGTACCGGGGGTAATTTTACTGGTATGTAAATCGCAACCGATCGGTATACCAAGTACACCGGGATTCGAGCCCTGGAGTATTTTGCATGTGTAGTCGCCGGTGGTATCAGGATCGTTTGGATGGACATCGGCTATTTTTCCCATGAGTCTCTCACCGTTGAATGAGTACACAATAACGTGTACTGAGCGTGGCACTGATGGACTGTCATTTTCGTCTAGTATCATCACTGTCACTGTGTGCTCACTCCTCATCTTTGGTATTCCTGAGTCCTCAACTTCGATCTGTTGACAAATTAATTTTTTCATTTAACGGAAGTAGTACAAACATGACGTGAATTTAGAAATCAAATATTTTTTCGAATAATAAAAGAATTCCCATCAATTCAATTTGTATTTTTGTCTTTTGATAGAATGATGAATTTAATGAATGGCATTGAATAGCAAAAATCACGACTTGGAGAATGAAAATTTTTGAAAAGAGATAATCGGCTAGAAAATGGAGAAATTTGTGTTTCTTCATTTGAACGAGAAGAAATGAAAAAATGCAAAATAACGCGGGCGGAAAGAAATAAAAATTTCCTCTGGCTTTTGTAATAAATAACTTCATGTCGAAACATTCTAGGCAAACAAGAGACTATTGTTTAAAAAAAAATTGAAGAAATAATTTAATGAATCAAATTCTTCTTTCCATTCATCAAAGTTAGAATTTGTGGGAAACATTATTAACGATGAATGATATTATTTTAGGCCTTTTGAATGTATTTTTCCTCGTTACACTCAACGACTCAACTGGAGTTTATTCATATTACTTTAGGTATTCTGCTTTATGAAGAAAAAGCGATTAATAACGAATGGCAGGATGTAACAAGTAGAAGGTAATGTTCTCCTTGATAATGCGTTCATGCGAGGGATAGACGTTTTCGGGAGAAAACAGCGGGAAACCTCTTTGAAAGAAGAAATGTGTCTTCATTTTTTCATAAAAAAACAACTTATTATGGAAGTAACTCCATATTTGGATAAATGGCTCACTAAGGAAGTAGGTAATTGTAATAAGGGCAATTTAATGTTCGTGAATTGTTCACTCATCGCGGAGAGAAGTAGAAACCATTGAGAGACTTTTTCTAGCTCAAGAAATTCCAGCAAAAATAGGTTTCTAATTTTTCGTTTCTAAAATGACTCTTTATTAGCTTAACTGCATATTTACGAGGGCAAGTCAGTTGGGAAATACTAGGCAGCGAAGTAGAGGATGATGTTTCAGCTAATTGCGTAAGTATCTCAGAAACGTAAGAAGTAATTGCACATTTGGATGAAAAATTCAGTACAAAAGTAGTCCATACTTGTTCAAATTTGCAACAAATATAGGTCTCTGACATTTTATCCTCACTCTTTATTAGCGTAATTGCATATTCAGCCGAGCAAGTCAATAGTGAAGTGCAACCTCATAAATAGAAGTTGATATTTCAGCGAATCGTGCATTCATCTCAGAAACATCATAAATATCTCTTGATACTTTCCTCCAAAACCCTCATTATTGAAACAATTGCATATTTGCAAGATCAATTTACTAGAAAAATACTCCCTCGTAATGAATTATTTTTTATTATTATAAGAATTCACAGAAAAGTCCTTTCACATTTCCGTCTAGAGGCATTCAGTCTCGAATGAATTGCACATTTGTTGTGTTCGCTTCTGCTATCTATACATTTATTCTGTTCTATTACGGTCTGACGTAAATGTCTTAGTCCCTGAGTTTTTTTTTTAACATTCAACGTATTTCCTGAGTCCTGCATTTCATGATTTGGTGCCACATTTTAGGCCATTCAATACATGACTCCAAGCAAATTTTAATAATTTATACATCGAACTCAATGGTTTATCAGTACAAACGATAACATAAATTCCAAAAATGTCGCTGGCCATTAAATTTAATGAATAAATTAACGAATAAATTTGGAGAATCTACTCACCAAGAGATCCAGCTGCGGCATGACCTCCCTATCAAGACTCCTCGTAGTCCTCAGCACCCCAGAGTGTTTATCCAACGTGACAGCATCAGCCTGTCGCCCCCCAATCAATTTGTACGTGAAAGGCGCCCCATTGGGTGGCAAATCAGGATCATTGGCAGTCAGCGTCATAACGCTAGTCCCAGCAGGTTCGTTCTCCTTCACATACCCCACGATCTCAGGGGGATCAAAGGTGGGGCCGTTATCATTGATATCCAGCAGTTCAATCCTGACAGTGGCAGTGCCAGTCTGCGGAGGGGACCCGGTGTCAATAGCCCCAATGATCAATTGATACGAAGGAACAGTCTCCCTATCCAGCATCTTCGCAGTCTCGATGTCTCCACTCTGTGGATCGACCTTGAACGTCTGGCCGGCGTTCCCCCCGATAATAGAATAGGAGAACTGATTGTTCTGAGGCCTCACGTCTTTATCAACAGCCCTGACAGTGAGAACCCTGCTCCCAAGAGGAGCGCCCTCAGGAACAGTCGTCTCGTAGTTGTTCTGAAGGAACTCTGGAGGATCGTTGCCATCCTGAATCGAGATGATGACCTGCGCCTCGTCAGTGTCATTCCCCCTGATGCCCCCACCGTTCTTCGCCATTACAGTGAGAATAGCTCTGTTCTGAGTCTCCCTGTCCAGCCGCCTCGACACCGAGATGATGCCCGTCTCAGGACCGATGGAGAACCCTCGATCGTTCGAGGAGCCAACGAACAGGTAATAAACCCTTCCGTCCTCCCCAGAGTCCTGGTCAGTTGCCTGAACAAGCCCCACCGAGGTCCCCACATCAGCGCTCTCAGACACATCGAGATGAAAGACCGGTTGAATGAACTTGGGGTAGTATTCGTTGACTCCTGTGATGTGAACTAGAACAGTTGTGACCCCCACCATCTGGGGATTGGAGTCTGGGTTGGCAGCTACGATGTCCAGGGTGTACTCATTGGCCTCTTCGTAGTCGAAGCTCATTCTCGAGGTGATGATGCCGGTCTCGTGCTGGATGTGGAAGTGGTCTTTGCCACTCCCTCCGAGAATCTTGTACTGAATTATCGCGTATTTCGGGGAGTCGATGTCCTTGGCGACGACTTTGTAGACGAAACTGTTGGGTTTTGAGTTCTCCGGGAGGTACGCCTCGTAGACACTCTGGTTGAATGTCGGGGGGTTGTCGTTAATGTCGGAGACGTTGACGGTGAGAGTGGCCACTGCTGTCTTGGGCTCGAAGCCCAGGTCAGTCGCGCTGATGTTGAGACGATACTCTTGGATCGTGTCGTAGTCTAAAGGCTCTAGGATTGTGACGGCTCCGGTGATCGGGTGGACGGAGAACTCCTTTCTGTCGCTGTTGGAGGATATTTTGTACCGTATCATGCCGTTGGGGCCCTCGTCCCTGTCTACAGCGTTGACAGTTAGGATTGTCGTGTTCACGGGCTCATTTTCGGGGACTCGAACCTGGTAGGACACTGCTGCGAAGGCTGGGGCGTGTCGGTTCTCTCCGGTGATGACTAGGATCAAGGGGACTTGGTCTCTCTGAGGAGGAACACCTTTGTCAACAGCCCTGGCTTTGGCCGAAAAGGTGGAGCCCACGGGAATTCCACTGATGCTTTTGGAGATGAAGACCCAGCCTGTGGACACCTCTACCGAAAAATAATCCGTTGCGTTTCCGGAGGTCAGGCTGTACTCCACCTCTGCGTTGACGCCAAAGTCCGACTCGTCCTTCGCGGAGAGCTTCACAATCCTCTTTCCCGTTGTGAGGCCCTCGGGGACTGGAGACAGATACGACGTCTGCTCGAATCTGGGCGCGTTGTTGTTGGCATCAACGATACTGATGAAGACGGTTGTTCTCGATGACAACGGCGGTCTCCCATTGTCCGTCGCAACGACTGTCAACGGGTAAAGATTCTCCGGTGATGACGGTCTGTTAGTGTGTTTGTACCGGATGGTTCTCTTGCTGTAGATGTCCCCAGTGGCTGGATCCACCGAGAACAAGTCGGAGGGTTGAAGGAGGCTGTAAGAGATTACTGAATTCGGTCCCTGCTTGTCAATGTCTGTGGCCGTCACCTGGCCAACGTGCGCCTTCCTCGTCTGCATCTCGGGGAAGTGGAAGTGGTAGGACTCCTCCGAGAACTCGGGGGCATTGTCGTTCTGGTCCTGAATGGTGATGGTCAACGTGGTCTCGGCTCCCCACGCCCCGTCGACTGCCCTGATCTTCACCAAGTACTCGTCCTGCTCCTCCCTGTCTAAATACCCCACCACCTCGACGTTTCCCGTCACAGGATCGATCGAGAATTTCCCCCCTGGATTGTCAGTGAACGTGTACGTCACATTGGCGTTCTCCCCGATGTCCTGATCACTGCTGGTTATCCTGATCACGAAGGATCCCACCTCGGCGTTCTCGGTGACATTGACGCTGAAGAGTCTGGTGAACCTCGGAGGGTTGTCGTTCTTGTCGAGAACTGTTACCAACACCGTAGCTGTACCTGATAACGTAGGCTCCCCTTGATCCCTAGCTTCGACCACCAGCTCGTAGGAGCTCACGTCCTCTCTGTCCAGCTTCATATTCGTCTGGATCTCCCCGGAGTTCTCGTCGATGACGAAGAACTCGTCGAAGTCGTTGACCAGGTGATACGTTATCTGGCCGTTTTCACCGGAGTCTGCGTCCCTCGCGGAGACCCTCGTCACGTAGAGGGGTGGGTACTCCTCTTCCGCGACGGTTGCGTTGTAGACGGGAGCCTCCATCACCGGGGCGTTGTCGTTGGCGTCTGTTACGTTGATCAGGAGTTGAACGACACTCCGGAGTGGGGGATTGTCGGAGTCCCTGACTTCCACCCAGGCCTCGTAGTACGGCGCCGTCTCGAAGTCGAAGCCGGCAGCCACCAGGACCTCTCCGGAGTGGGGCTCGATCCTCAGGGCGTCTCCTACGTTTCCACCTGCCATGCCGAAGACCAGATTGCTGGCAGCTCCGGTTTTTGGGGTCGAGGCACTCAAAGTTGTGATGATTCGCCCCTCGGGGATGTCCTCGGGGAGAATGAACTTGGTGTTGATCGATGATCGGAAGCTGGGGAAGAGCTGGTGGTCCCACAGGTGGATCACCAGGTCCGCGGTTACCGTCTGGGAGGATCTTCCGGAATCCGAGGCCTTCACTTGGAGCTGGTACGTCGCCTTGCCGTTGGACAGATCCTGCGCTGCTCTTATCACTCCGTTTGATTGGTCTATGACGAAGAGTTTGGCGTCTTCTCCCTGCAGGTGGTAGACGATCCGGGAGTTGTCGCCCTCGTCCTCGTCCACCGCCTTCGCTCCGAAGACAAAGTCCCCGGGCTCTGTCGAGTCGGGGATGTAGGCGGTGTAGCGGGGACTTGAGAACCTTGGGGCGTTGTCGTTCAGGTCTTTCACGAAGATCGTGAGGTTCACGGCCGCGGCGCCGGGCTGCGTCGGACTCGAATCCTGAGCTACTAGGGTCAGGTGGTAGATCGGAGCTTGCTCGCGGTCTAGGGGGGCAACGGTCAGGACTTCTCCGGTGTCCGGATTCACGGAAAAACGCTCGGCGTTCTCGCCCAGGAGGCTGTACCTGTGGGCGAACGGTTTTCGTTGATTTGGGGGGTGAATTGGTTGAATTATTCCGAAGGTTTTGTAGTAAATTCCGGAAGGGATTGAATTGAATTCCAGATTTGAACGCGAATGAAAAATCAAAGAAATATTTTGGAAAATGGGACTGATTGGACTGCTGCCTAACTTTATAAACCTTGCAACGCGATTTTTTTATCGTGAAAAATGTTAACCATCATTCCTCAAATTTTTCCTCAAATCTAAGCGTAATAAAAGTGGATTAACGCGTTTTCAATGAATAAATCAATGCATAATGATAAAAAATAATATGCGTAAGTCACCGGCCAATAATGCCAATGTTTTTTTCCGTGGAGAAATTGTGAATTCTGTTCTCAAGTTAGTTTTTTCTTTCTGACGCGCGAAAGCCCCTACACAACAAGATTCATTCGTAAAAATGACAAGTTATGATGCACAAATTTGTCCATACAATTAGTCAACGAGTTTTAGTGACGATAGCAGGTATTATTAATGTTCCAGGAGTGTAATGTCCCCCTTTTAGTCCTTGAAATATTCACTTTGTCCGAGTGGAGTCAGTAACTCACCTAATTTTTGCATTCAATCCATCATCTTTATCAGCAGCTGTCGGTTTAGCTACCCAAGTACCAGCCGGTTGATTCTCAATGACATCGGCCCTGTAATCGGTACGTGAAAATTCAGGACTGTGGTCATTCACATCCAGTACAACGACTTTCAGGACACCCGAGCCAGTCAAAGGGGGTGAACCTGCAACAAGATAAGAGAGAAAAAAAAAATACATTTTTTGCTCGTTTAACTTTATTTATATGTCTCTCTGTTTGTTTGATTTTTCTTTTGACCCGATATGCCCGACGGGGGCCTGGAGGGCACCAGTGCGAGGATAAGAATGGGGGTGTGGAGGCACGTAGCGATCATACGTCATTCCACGGAGGGGATTCAAGGACGCACAAAGGATCCTCTTGCAACACGCTCCAACTGGTACTGCACATGTATATATCTTCTGCCCCATCCTTTGTGCGTATGTACAGAGTATGACAAATTCACGGACGATTAATCTCACCACGACCACAGGCGGATATGTATAAACTTTCATTGAGTTGACGGAATATTTATTTGTGGAGACAATAAATATTTATTGGTTGCTGGCTCTTTCACTGTTTATTCGCCCATTCATCCATTGATTTATCTATTCACTTACTATTTTCAGGGCGCGATTATGAAACCGAGTATGAATTTCAAACGTCTTTGCTGCAAATGTGTAAAGTTTTCACTTATTTATCAATCATTTTTCCGTGAATCATACAAAATTAATTAAGCCTGAATTAACAAACATTCCCGGCTACTTTGAGGAAATCTTGGTTTTTAAATCAAGACCATTCTCGTTTATGAATTGATGGTTTCTCCTGCTGTAAAATTAATCTACTCAGGTTTTAAGTATCTTTCGACATACCTCTGAAATTCATCATTTTATCTCAATGCAATTAAATCAACATAAAAATATGACTCCTTTGGGATTAAAAGTATATAACTTTTATGTTCAGGAGAATGTTCAATTATCCGTAAACATTATCTTTCCCTCATGTTATTAATTCAAGAACATTTTTCATTTCGAATAACTAGGTTTTTGGGATTCAATTGTAAAGTTTTTTCTGCGGAGATTCAAAATCTCTTTCCTCCACGAATAATGCATTTTAAGGCCATATGTTTTTTAAAAATCCGTCACTTTGTTGTATCCCCTAGAAATTACTATTCAAGTGCCAAAATATTATGCAAATGCGAACGAAATTTGAATTTCGAATAAATAGTCTCTCCTTCTTTTCAATTACCGTTGTCCATTTATTTATTTATCGCTTTGTTTGATTAAATATGATTTATTCTCCCTGGGAACTTTGTGATGCACATTGCCGACGTGATACACTCAGTCTCAAATGCACGCCAAAGAAGTTTGGAGAGGGGGAGAAGCAGGCGGGAGTCGTAACAATACTATAAATCATAATATTCAAATTAACAAAGGTTCAATAAATTAAAACTCCGGTCATGGGGCCCAGGACGTTGTACGTTTATATGAAAAAAAATGGGGGAGATAGGGGGAAAGGGGAGACGGTGGGGTGAGGAGAATGAGCCGTTCCCTTTGAGGGGCTACTCTCTTTACTCTGGCTCACGTCAAGAAATCCTCTCTTTTCCTTTCTTTCTTGCCCCCAAGGGGCAACCCCCTCACCTCTCTCTGCCGAAAAATCAAGCCGCCATTATGGATCGCTCTCTCCTCCGAGCGATTTTGAGGAGGCATCAAAGTCGCCGTAATCGTCGAATAAAATCATACATCAAAAGAAATTAACAAAATGAAATAAAAGAGAAAAATTTTGAAACACGAGAGAAAGTGTTTTGGTTTTATTATTATTCATATTTTATGGTAAAAATTGGGTGGAGAGGGAGGCCCTGGGGGGGCCTGGGAAAGCAGAATTTGGTGGTGGTCCTTTGGATTTGCTGGGAACTGGGGGAAAGCGGCTGGATTGGAGGGAAAAAATCTTGAATTTGGGATTATTGCTCGTGATTTGGAGAGACGTGAAAAAATTGATGATTAAATGAAGAAGAGATCCTCAATTGGCGAATTAATTTTCCTCCAATATCTCCTACGATGTGACGATTTTCATGCAATCCCCCCAATAAATTCGTTGAAGTATAAAATTACGACAAAAACATCAGAAACAAAAAGTGTACCGAAGTTTTCGTGGAACACATTACATGTGAGGTTATTACATTTACATAATGAAATACTCATAAAGTTCTAATAAAAAATAAATTGCCCGACGTTGCCAAAGATATTCATGGAGTATAATTTTTTTCGATGAATCTGCACATTCACATAGTCATAAAGTATCAGAAACCAGTGAAATAAAAGATCCGATCCAACTCTAGAAATTATTCATGAACTTGGCGTATTAAAATATGACCACTGACTGATGGAATTAATATCCAAAAACCCCCCGAAAAGTCTCCCAACAAAATTTATCCATTCGCGCAAACATAAATTCGTGACCTATGCTGTGAAACATTTGTTCAGTGGAGCGATAAAAAACGGTAATAAGGTATTCGGATGGATGTTCAACGCCTGAAAAAAATGATTTCGATGATAAAAAAAAATAAATGGCAAATCCCAAACACATTTATCGATAAAAACACTTGTTCTCCGTGTACAAGATCGCATAAACAAGCGTGGGATTATTTATAAAAACAATTTACACGTTATTTGACTTAACCCTGAAGATATATGAACTGAAAAAAAGGAGTTTGAGAAATCTGTTATTTTGATATTTTCCACAATTTTTTTTTGCCGGTCAAAACCTCCCTCAAATGATTTACCGATGTGGCATTATTGCTCCGTGGCATGAACGTACACATACGCAGGTGCTACGGTGCCCCGATGCGGTCCAATGTGTCGTAACAAGCGCTGAGATTTATGGCAATTTCGTGGATAAATAAAAGCTCCGAGTCTGCCACGATTTTTATTATACTTTTTTCACTACTTATCAGAAACACGAAGAAAAAAGTGATAATAATTCAACCGTCACTCCATCTCCCGTTCATCGTTATTTTCTTGTTTTGTAAATAAATAATGAATTGATATTTGGGCGAAAAATGCCATGAAATGAGGCTTAATTCTTTCGATCCGGGTGTTTGGGCCGCGTGACGAGCGAAAAATGAGATGATTATTTTCGTAAAATAACGAGTTGGGACTTGCCGAGTAAATTAGAGGTGGCAAATGTGCACATGTGTGTGGTTAATGCACGGGAGTAAATGCTTAGCGCGAGTTGTTAATGCATCATCTCTTTGAATTGAGAAGCGTGTGCCGGGGAATGCTGTGTCTTGTCTCGAATTTCCGTTTCCACTGGGAGGAAAAGCGACTGTTCGACGTCGTTGTCGGATTGATTTAATTATTTTTGGGGAACATCGCGGAAAAAAAGGGAGGGATCGAAATATGTATCAGAAAATTTTTGGCAGATCCTCGGTATGCAATGAGAAGAAATAGTTCGATAGAGAGAATTATAATAGTATCTGTAAGTAAGAAGACTCTCAAATTTATCCCCACTCCTAGCGGGCGATTGAGTGACGAGTGACTGACTGGTCAGCCCTGCGTGAGCCTTGAAATTGTATCGACCTCATTTTATCCTGTTATATTAAAGCCTCCAGTTTAATTTACATCTGTGTCCATTATTCAATAATTAATTGCTGACAACTTATTCAACTTGCAGCCACTTCCATCAGGTTTTGAGATTTTTTCCTCAATCGATCTAGATTTCATTCGGGCGTTCAGTTTTGCATTTTTTTCTTGTTCAAATCCTTTCCGTCATTTGTCACTAGTTGAATATTTTAATTATCAAACATTTTGCAATGATTTTCTTATTTTTCCAGTGTATTTGAAAATTTATCTGTGATATTCTTGTTTACTTGAGGTTGAGGCGCAAAGCAAATTTGTTGAAATTGTGTATTTTTTAGAAAAATTCATAGATCAATGAAAAATTGAATTTGTTATGTTAAAAACATTCTGCATATTCCGAATTTTAACATTTCCGCAAGTTTAAAAAACGTATCATAATTATTGTGAGTTTCTCTCACGCAATTTAGTTGAGAAATTTGATTGGAAATCTCCTCGGACATCCCAAAGTCCAACAAAACAAAAATCTCATATGTTAAAGCCGTAATTTCCCGAAGTACCTCCTCTCCCACGTCCAATCACTCTGGGACAAGCAATTACCCATGACTTAACCATATTTTTTTCATGCGAAAAATTGAAATAAAAAAAATCATCGTGAAAATAGTTTCAAGTGATTAGTCGCCTATTCTCGCAATCAACTGGCACTCGCAAACGCATTAATAACCATTTATTAACTCGTGAGTTGACACTCGAAGTACAAACCCGACCTCGGCGCCACGGGTGGTTTACCCATTCACCCGCCCATGCGCCACGGTTATAACGGTCCTACATCACCAATCACCGTAAACATTAATTTTTTCCATTCTAATTTAAAGCACTGCGATAATTGTAAATTTAATTCTAGTGAAGTGTCCGTTTGTCGAGGATCTTTGACGTTGGGCTGATGCCTCCCCTCTTCTTTCCCCTCAGCCGCACCTGTACATTCATCCATCCACAACTAAAGATGAATATAAATTTCTCCCGGGAAAGGAACTAATGAATTTTTGTTGAAATATTTTTTTCAATGCAAAGCACAACTTCTTCTCTTTGTAATGACCCTAGACTGCGCTCAGCTGATAAGTCTGGATTGTTATAAATATTTGGCTTTCGGGTAAGATTTTCGCAAATTTTTATCCCATTTTAGTTCCCCTGAAATGTCAGTTCAATTATTTTCTGAAAATTAGTAGAAATCAGGAAATTTCCGGTAAATATATTCTTAAATTTTCAATTAATTGAAAATTGCTGGTAATTTGGAACTGAATATTCACCTTTTCGTTTTAAATTCAAATAGGTTGAACAATTCTCATCTTAACGCTTTTCAAAATGATTTTAATATCATATTTTCTACGAAATTTCCATTTTTTTTCTAAAAGTGTATTTCTGAGTTATGAATATTTCCAAAAAATAAAGTGTCCATTTTACCTCACCGTCCCCTATATTTAACAAAACCAATTTATTTTCTGTGGATATTTTTTCTGTGAATAAACGGTTTATTACTAGTTAACTAAATAAAAAAATTATTTTTCTGGTGGCCCCCAGGGTTATCAACCCCGTC